TTTGGAGATCACCCTTCGGCAGCAAGCTAACTGGGAGGGTATCTGAACTCGGCATCGAACCTTGAGAAGTCAGATACACCATTCGACGCGCCTTGTCGAGGGGATTCCAAATCCTATCCTATAAGCGAGAAGCGTATGCTTGTTTTCTGTACGGCCGTTTTCTCCTGCCGTCCGTCCGCATTTCGAGCTGATTTTTGGCATGGAGGTGGGAAATGTCACTCATAAAAAACGGTTTTTTGGATTTTTCGAAATTCTTTGATTTAACGATTTTACAAGCAAAAAATGTTAAAATCCCCTTGACATTTTTGGGTACGCACGTTGTCCGGAACTTTTCTCCGGCCCTAGAGGGAATTGGGGTCTCATTTTTGGAGGGTAGATGGGAAAAGTAATTCCCCAGATACAATTTTTCCGATTTTTTAAAATTCGTTAAAATAAAGTTTTTATAAGGATTTTTCTGAAAGTTCCTTAATAAATCGCGTCACGGGCCGTGGTGTCCAGGCCATAACTCGACGCCCTGATGGAATTCCGGGCTGAAATTTGGACAACTTATGTATTCGATAGTGGGGATCACGCGCATCTTATTATCTTTGCAAACTTTCCGCAGATTCAGACTAAAAAATTGAATTTTGGAAAGTGACCAGAAGGCCTCCCTTCCCGGATCATGGGGTCGCCCATTTCTTTGCCCCCCGTCCCCCAGGAGAGAAGAGGCCTCTCCCGCTGCCTGTTCCCATGTGCCCCTTTGTGTAGTGGAATAGCGCTAGGTCTACCACGCGCGGGGTCGTCAGTTCGGATCCTGGGGGAATTTAATTTTTGCTTTTTGGTAGTTCGGCAACAAAACATATTTCAAGGCTCTCGGTGTGCGAGGTTTAGGCCTGGCTCTCGCCCTAGCGCCGCAGGCCAAGAAAAGGGCCCCTGGCTCGGGCTCTCGCGCTGCAGACCAGATCCTGGCGAAAAACCAGTAACTAGCGCCGCAGGCTCACAGATCCTAGCGGAACGCTGGCTCTGGCGCCGCAGGCCAAGAAATGGCTCTTGACCTAGGTTTTCAAATTCATGTTTCCTGGACGGGTCCAGTGGAAAATGGCCGCGAAGCGGTCTTTTTCCACTGGTATGTAATAAAATCAACCAGAGCGTATAACGGTAAAAAGTTATGAGCATTCGAAGGCGACAAAATGGTGAAAAAAAGTATCTTTGAGACCATGTATCATCCCACTTGGAATGGATTTAGCCTAGGTTGATTGGTGCTCCTTATTCAACAAGAAAGCACTTTCAAATGAGCTATGTGTACATACGGCTGCCAAGAATTTCCGTAAAATATATTTTTGGAATGCGGCGTAAGGGTAGGGTATGGCCAGCTCGCCGAAGACGTTTCGAAAATTTCGCGTAAAGCCTATGTAAGATAGCACATTCGAAAGAGAATTTTCTGCTGATCAAGATGTACTGTTCTGTTTTCGACAAATTACATTCTTCGAATTCGTACAGAGTCTTAAGGGGCGGTTTTTGATAATTTTGCCAACTCACAAGGATAGGGAGCGTCCAATCCTGGTCTTGTTGCCCGAGGTTATTTTATCATCGCTGGTGCCTTTTAGGGATCACACAGTCAAGAAAAACTTATTCCCGAGTTTGGAAATGCAAAAAGTAGTAACTGGTCAAAAAGCAAATAATAAAAATCGTGAGTATATCCGAACCCTGGTCGTACAGACCGGAGACCCATGCGCACACCACTAGGCCACGGGGCCAATGACTAGGGCGCGCTGGGAGGGGCTCATATCGCCGCGGCGCTTTTCGCTGCAAAACTTAAAATGCTCATAACTTTTTATCGTTATAGGCTCTGGTTGATTTTATTACATATTTGGAATCCCCTCGACAAGGCGCGTCGAATGGTGTATCTGACTTTTCAAAGTTCGATGCCGAGTTCAGATACCTTCCTAGTAAGTCCGGAATATGTACAATCGAAAATCAAAAAAAATCCGAAAAACCCTCACGACAAGTGAAACATGGCCATGTTTGCGGCACGTAACGCACGCGCGTGCAATTTTATTGCGCAAGAAAATACGATCCTGTTGTAACAAAATTGGGTTAGAGTGAATTGTTTTCAGCATCCCCCGGTATTAAATACAACCTCCAGGAATCGAGATTCTCGTGCCTCCACTACGGTAACCTATCCAAAGGCTACGAATTGATCAACAACCTTCCACTTGTATAATTAATCCTAAAGCCGACCTAATACACCTCGGAATGCAAGCATTGCAATGCAAGGAAACCCAGACTTCATTCCTTAGCAGACGGAAAATGTAAGGAAACAAACAATAGGTCAACAAGTGTTCCGGTTGCGCGATTGGTTGAGCATACTTCGGCGAGCGGAAGACGATTGATTCTCTCTCTATCTCGCTCTCTCTCTCTCTCACACTCTTCCCTTTCTCTCGCTTATCTCACGTTAGATATATCTGGGACTTTTTCATTTATATTTATTCACAAGATTCAATAATGGCAATAGAGTCAGTTGATCAAAGTCTTCTTCCTCGATTTGGTACTGCCAGGGTTAATCCTTGCGACGACCAGCTCCTTCAACTCCCCGACCGCCTTGTCCAGATAGTGGCCAATTGAGAACCCAATGAACCGATAACTGTTGTCACCCCTGGCGATGGCCTTCCTCACGAGTTTGGTCCAATCTCCATTCTCCTTTGTCGGCTCGAGCCCCGCCGTCACGTAGTCGAACACGTCGCTGAGTTACTGGCACTCACCGCGATCCTAAAAGTTGGACTTAATTGAGAATCGCGGATAAGGCTTGCCTTGTACACGGTAGTCAGCTGGGCGGCCCATCGGCAAATGAAACACAAGTCGAGTACGGTGCCGAGTTCCTTTTCGTAAAATTCGCCCTTCTTCGCGAAAACTTCGCGGAAGTTGTCGTAGATTGTTTTGCGGAATTCGTGGCATAGCCTTGATGCTACGACAAGTGGATATTCGTTGGGGTATCCGAGTACCTGTAAGGAATGACTAACTTTTAGACTTGACAGAACAAAATCGAAATCGGATAAGTCTAAGCCAAAGCCTAAGCTTAACCTTCAGCCTAAGCCTAAAACTAAGTTAACGACCATGCCTAAGTCTTGATTTTTGTGGCTTACCTTGCGTCTCATAACACTATAAATATAGTTGTAGACGGCGTACTGATCAACCTCTTGCGCGCCTCACAACGTCATCAACAAGTCACGATCCTCAGCGCTAATTTTTGCCTAAAATCGAAGTTAGCGCTTCAACGGCATCTGCGTACCTCTTCACTATACAACCACTCCTTTTCCCCGTGCTCCATATAAAACATGTCAACGTTGTTCTGCAGCGACTGGCTGACCGATAGCTCGACGTAGAAGGGCAGGCGCTCTTTTGCGAAATTCGCCTGAATGATCGAATAGATTTTTAACGATTTCTACTTACGTCTGCGCGTCGGATCCTCTCCTTGACGTTTGGTAAATACGTCACAATCCCGTCCGTTATATAGCCAAGGATTTCCTGTAGGGCCAGGTTGAGCTCGTTGTCGATGCGGAGCACGACGCTCATACGGCCACATTCTTTCACGACTTTGTCAATGTCGGAGAACATGAGCTTCACTGGTTTCTGAAAAAAAAGTATCCGAATATTAATTTTCCCAAAAAATATATTTGAGGGTTGCAATTTCTTGTACGATATTGCTAAATTCTGCGGAGCTTCGCGTACAGGGTGGGCCAAGCAAAAAGTACACAGTTTGGGTCAAAATAACTCGCGAAAGGTAGAGAATCGAAGTTGCGTTACCATGCCAGAATCTTAAATATGCTGGGTATGAAGGGTTTAACACAACTTAATTTTTTCGATTTTTGAGTACGAAACTGTACTATTGACGCTGGTTACGACCGAAAATTGTGCGTTCTTGAACGGGTGGTGGGAAAATTCTAATTTTTGTCTCATAAATGGCTTTAATTTCTTGAAACGTAATCGCCAAACCTTAGAATTTTCCTAGGTTTATGTCATTTTTTAAAAGCAAATCGATTTTCGCGATTTTGCGTTATTTTTGTTCTATGAGTTCTAACCGGCTTCTAACAGGCTGCCCATGGCTGCTTGTTTCCCAATGACTTATCCAAATATTAATCTCGGATTCCACACCAGAACCCACCACAATCTATGGTATTTTTGTATTGCTTGCTAAAACGTGCCCCAGTGGGGTACTGTAGGTTTCGTTATTTCCGCTTTTCTCGGCTCCCCTAGATTCGATCCGGCTGAAATTTTCAGCGTTGTTAGGCAATAAGTAGTGGCACTTTGCTGCCAAATATGAGAGCGTACTATCCACAAACTTTCATGAAAATGACTAAAAACTGATTTTGTAATTCTGCCATAGAATCTTGTAAATTTTTTGGTCAGTTGTACCAAAAACCGCTACTATTAGTTTTACGAAAAGATCGAAGCGATTCCATGGCAAAAACACCACGAAAATCGCAATTTCGGGTTTTCTACAGTAACCCACGTGGAGCGCGTTTTAGCACGCATCACAAAATTCCATAAAGTGACGATTTTTCTGTTCGAGGGACTTCTAGAGTTGATTGTAAGATAGCCTGTAAAAAATGACTGATTTTTGGTGGTAAATAACAAAGTTACGAGGCCAAGTGCAAAACATGGCCAGAGAGCCGATTTTGGATCCCAGTAGCCGGGTCAATTTTCGAATTTTTAAAAATAACAAAACCACCTGGATCTCATGGATATGATTACAGCTTTAATGTTATAATTTACGCCTGTCAAATTCGGGAGCAATCTGATTGAAAATGATGGTGGCTTTCAGCTCAAAACCAAAAATCACCCTGTTCCGAAATCCAAGTTTAAAATTCTTCTTAAATTTTTTTTCGACGTAAAGTGTTTTTAGTCTTTTTTTAGTTTTATTGTTTTTGATGTACAAAATTAATTCTCCAAATACTCTGGTGACTCCACCTTCCGAAAAGTTTTTGGCCCCCTCGAATTCAGTTTAATTTGGTTTTCGTGAATTTTGCTCGCGCCAAAGGCTGGTTAAAAAAAATACATGAAACTAGCTTTAAGATGCGCTATTCAAATGGTATCAGATAAAAATAAAAAGATAATTTTCACAGCGCGATTAAATTTTATAAAATGGCGACAATATTCGGAAAAAAAGCATGAACCAACCGTTTTGGAGGACCTAAAAGACGCCCCTCCAAAGGGGCACCGTGACTCGAAATTTTGTAGATGATAGATAAACCCCAGAACTACTTAGCTAAGCAAAGAAAATAGCTAGGTCTCCTTTGGCAAGTTAAAATTATTTTTCTAAAGTTCGATTTCGGGACTTCGAAAAATCCATGACCTGGGGGTCGTTGAAAAACTCGAAAATTTATCGATCTCGAAATTTTTTTTTAATATGTTTATGCGATTGTGTCAAGCCCGTAGGTATGCTACAAACGGTTTTTTTGATGATTTTGCCATAAGTTTTTCTAAAATTCGAAATTTACGAAATTTCTCCATACAAAAGTTCGCTCCTCGGTAACTTGTTAACCAGACCTTCAAAAATTCTTAAAATTTGTAGATGAATATCTACCGCCTACATTAACTTACATGGTAGAAATCAGAACCCAGCCACCACAGCAAACTGAGAAAAATGCAACTGAAGTTTCCCCGAACGCACAGTTTTCGGGTGTCATTTGTATTGATACGTCGCCAAAAATCAAAAAATCAAGTTGTGTTAAATCTTCATACCCAGCATATTTAAGCATTCTGGCATGGTAACGCACCTTCGATTCTCTACCGTTCGCGAGATATTTTGACCCAAACTGTGTACTTTTTGCTTGGCCCACCCTGTACGTCCGCGTCCCTCGTCACGCGACTACGGTGCGGTACTATTGGGTTTGAACGTACGTCTCTGCGCTTTTTTCAAAGCTCGCTGCTTGTCTTAATCGTGGACTTTGGACCAAGTGTTATATATCATTCGAAAGAGCTTTCTTTTCTCTATCAGAAACTGGTATTAGTTTATTATCTACGTTTAGATTGCTCGAAATTAATGGGTTAGAATGAAAATCGTCGCTTTCCTTTGAGCTCGATTTTGAGCACGATCGCTAATGATTTTTACAGTTGACTTTTTGGGTTTCGAAAGAGTTTTTATCTTTCTACTTTTTCATGCAATTAGTTTATTTTCTAAATAGCCTTTCACTAATTTTTAGCAGATCGAAAAATTGGCCAAAATGCGCCCTACTTTCACTTGCTAAATTGTGCGTTAATAACAATTATTTAGCAGATTCCAAGCTCGTGCTCGACTTTCCTGCCTATTCAGAAAAACTGGGCGATAATTTGAGCCCGGGTTTAGCGTAGACAAATCCATAAACCTGATAATCTTTGGCGGCAAACTGTAGTCCTACTGAGTGAGTTGAATTTGATAATTATGGTAAGGAAAAATTTTGCATGGTGCGGTCGTCCATCCTTTGCGGTCATTTTCGTCGATACTTCGTTCCCCGAAATCCATGCGAAAGGAACGCTTATAAAATAAGCGGCTATTGGAGCCTTGTAGTGCAAAAAATTCTCTTTCTAATGGTATATAGGGCACATCAAAAAAGTTAAGATTTCCGCACGATAATTGAGCTCGAAAATACGCAGAGACTTACGTTCCAACCCAATATATTCAGTCATTACATGCGGGATTCGTGGTATACAACTTCCCGGACTTACCATTACATGCCCGGTGACCACTTAGAAAGGTATGTGAGGCTACGTTTTCTCGTTCCTGTTGCAGATTCGCGCGAGTAGAGGTAGACCCTCATTATGCTGGTCACGCCTCAGAAGACGCACCATGTCGACCCGTAGCTTTTCTCTTCGCACCTCGTCAAGAATTCTTGGGTAACGATTGTATTCCTGGAATTCATAGGACAATCCTACTATATATAAAAAAATAGTGTCTGTGTGTGTGTGTGTGCATTTGCATGCAACTTCCGTCACCGTGTTCCAGTAGTATCTCAAGAAGGGGAGTACTTAGGGGTATGTTCGATACGTCATTTGGTGCGTAATGGCCTGGAGATGACTGCACACATATCCCCCAGATTTTTACCAAATATGATGTTTTCGACCATTAAAATTAAGTTTTTCATGGAAAATCGGACACCCAATTTGTTTTTAGGATCAAATTAGCATGCGTAGCGCCGTCGCGGTAGCCTATATAAAGGGACGGCAAGAGCATTTTCATTTTTTCGTCATCCGAATCCGGGAAAATTGTGCAAAAACCAAAAATATATCATTGGAGAAGACGGGGCCAGGGTTGAAAAGCCGCGACGCAATTTCCAACTTACAGTTTGCTGTTAAATTTTAACGTTAACAGGTCATAAAATCAAGCTTTCCTCCCCTCGAACACCAAAACGACGTCAGTTCGCGAAACTTTGGCAACTCG